TGACCATGATCTCTCCAAATTATAAAAATTACATTACCCACAATTTTTTTTAATCAATATAGTGATTCAGATGTACTCAAATAATTTATATAAATATTATTTTATTTTTACTAATGATTAAATATTGAAAATGTGGTATGTCCAGTATCTAGAATTTTAATTTTAAATTCACATATCTTAAAAATGTAATATGTTTATCATCTATAATTTTAATATTAAATTCACACATATTACTTATTATATTTTATGTACATCTGTGCATGTGCACAGGATGATAACTAGTATATATAATTGCTAGCATATAGCATTTAATAAAACCTATTTAATAAAACCTCTAAAAATTTTCCTCCATTTTCGGTTACAAAATTTATCATTAATGTTTTGTTACTTCTCACATTAATACATCCTATTAAAGGTAATCATGTATTTTTTTCTATTATATTATATAATAGTTATTGCTAATACCAACTAATAATAATCCACAATAAATATAAATTACCTAATTATAAACAATTGTTTCAAGTTATTTATATTAACATAAATATTATCTCTTCCTTTTGTATTTTATGAAAAAAATTCTTTAAACATAATAAGTAAATTGTTTTAATAGCATAGTCAAACAACTTTGGAATCTTATAAATAATTGTTTCTTAATAATAATAATAATAATAATAATAATAATAATAATAATAATAATAATAGTAAACAAACTATTATTATATAATGATAATAAACAATTGTTCATAATAATAAAATCGTTAATTTATTTTTCCTAATGATCAATTTTTTGAAAATGTAATATGTTCATTATCTAGAATTTTAATATTAAATTCTCAAATATTACTTAGAATATTTTATGTACATCTGTGCATGTGCATAGAATATCCACTAGTACTAATTTAATAGGGAAAGGATGGATCGTAATGTGTGCATAAAATTATACTCATATTTGTTACATATAAATGTTAATTCAGATAAGATAGTGTTTCAGCATCTCCAATGTTTGTTTCACTATATAAATTAAAAGAACGTCCTTTACCTTTTAACTATTGTCCATACCAGTAAATATAATAAAGTAAAAAACAAAAGGAAAGGGAAAAGAAAGAGAGAGGTAAGAATGGGAAAATAGAGAAAAAGGAGAAGGAAAAAAAAAAAGAACAATCAGTGGAGGTCCTGGAGAAGCGAAATGACAGTCTTTTGTTAGAGGAGTCAGAAAATGGGGTAGGTTGGTCTTGGGTTTTTGCAGAAATTCTAGTTTGGGGAGGAGCTTGATTTTTCATTGTTCTTCTCATCGCCTATCAGGGGCGTAGTAAGGAAAAAATTTACACTGGCTAATCCGAATACAATTGTATTATTTGAAATGTGGGATGACAATTATTTGTGTTATTTGTTGTTGTTGTTGTGGTCTTTTTTTCTTGATTGTTTTCTTTTGTTTGGTTAGTTGTACCTTGGACATTGGACCTGTAGATTTGTGACTATTCAGCTCATTTAGAACCTTTTTATATACAGATTAGGGGGTCCGGCCTTAACCCCCCCCCCCCCC